AGTGATAAGGTAAAATAAAAGAAGATGGGTGGACGAAAAAATGCAGCAAATAAAGCAGAAAAGAACAAACAAAAATACGAAAAATTTTACAAATGGATTAAATAACATAACAAAAATACAAAATCAAAACAAACGGAATAAAAAATAGAGAGGGAACAGTGATAATAGAGGATCAAGAATATAAGCAAGTATGGAGGGATTACTTGACGAAAGAAACAAGACAAGAAGAAATGCATACATACATACATACCTTTTAGTACTAGAATACATGAAAATTTATTATTCTAGTATTACGAATACTTAAAAGGTAAAAACAAAAAATTTATGCGTTAAAATAACCGTTGGCCTATCCAAAACGAACGCCTATGATCGGTATTAGAAATTCGCAATTTATGAAATCGATTCAACTTTGGAGGACAAATAATTGCACCAGTTTTCGTTTTTCTAAATAGAAGCGTTCTAGAGGTATTAAAAAAGACTAATTACAAGGCGCCATCTTTAAAGAGCACTAGCTCCATTAGAAAGCATTTTCGGACTAGGTGAATTGGGTCAAATTATTAAATTATCTGAGGAATCTCCAATCTTCATTTGTCAGGAGAGTTTCTGGAAACCCTGGATAGATTTACTGAATCAATATTTAGTTTAGTTAACACCTTTCATGTGATGTATTGCAACATGCACGGCACATTTCAATTTAAAAACGTTGACAGCTTATCAAGTCCCTATAAATGACGTCAAAAATAAAAAAGCAATCTGAATGGACGCCAATTTTCAAAATAAAAATCGAAAGACTTTAGTTTCTCTAAAAGTGGCAATTTTCGATATATTAAATTTATTCCTTTCATTTGCAACAAACCCTATACTTATATAAATATGTTTATTTAATCATGAATACACTGTATACACTGTATCATACACTGTACTGTGAAAGCTCATACAAACTCAGCTTTTTAAAAAAAGGTTACCTGAAACTGACATTTATCCAATAATAGAATCCAGTTGGTCCCAGCGTTTCAATCATAAATATTTCTGGATGTACCAAGGTGATTTGGTTGGTCCTGTAAAAATGGTGGGTCTAATCAGATGTATAGTACTTACCAAGATAAAAACAGTTACAGATTTCAATAAATCCACTGGTTATTAATACATTTAAAAACCTCTTTTCTACTTTGCAATTGAAAAAGTTCATGTACAAAAAAATAAATTAGCAAACAAGGCAAGGATTATTGTAGTTGTTTACAATTAAATATTAAATTTTAGTCAAAGAAGTTAACATTATTTAGCAACAAAACTAACAATCCATTCAAAATTGTGTATACACGTGATGCCAACTTTTACCTAAGTCTTAAATTTTTAAGAACTATAAATTGTGGTCTTTATTTTTATATAGCTGTAACATCGTCACATGTTTGATAAAAATTTTATTATCAGTAGAGAGCATAGTAATGATTGTTTAAATTTTACTGCAACCTATTGTTCAATATTTATTAAAGCAAAGCCTTTTTATACTGACATTGTATTACTTTTTCTCTATAGTAATACATTGATAGTAGCGCCATAAAATAGCGGTTCGTAATTGGTAGTCATAGTAAATAGTTGGAAGAGTCCATTAACGTGACAAGGGGTTCATTTTACATAAGTAAATAAAGAATAAAATTACTTTATTCAAACTAAATGTCGCATATTTCAAGACTCATCTGTTGGATAGGCTGTTGGAAGGAAGCTTGGCTATATTTCTGAGATTCTCGAAATTTTCTTCTCGTTCATTTACAGTAATTTCAAAAGGATTAAGACGCATGTATTCTACGAGAGTATTGTTTTCATTTTCATTATTGACTTGTCCTACACATTGTCTAAAAGGACTTCACAATCTTGTTGATCTTGATAGCGTTTCTTAATTTAAAAGATACAACTTTACTGACATTGAATTCAGCAGTCACTACACTTAAAGACCAATTTTACTATTGTCTTCGACTTTTGAGTTAAATGTTTTGGCATTTTTTTAAAATATAACAATAATGTTTAAGAACTATCAAAATTAAGTGTGATGGGCTACCATGTAGGGTAACTATGATGCTAAGTTTAAATTACCATTTCATCTTGGTGTTAAAATTTCAGTTTGCAAAATTATCTATAAATGATCTGCTGTTTAACGGAAAATATTGACAACAGTTGTTAATTTTATATTATGATTAGAGATAATACATTTTAATAACAAAGGAGGGATTTGCTTTGTAATTCTAGGTGATTATCAGAGAGTGCTGTCAAAATTTGATTAGTTTACCTAATACAATAGTATAGTATTGGCACTGGCTTGCTTAAGAGGGGAATAAGGTTAGTATGCAAATATGTAGCAAATTAATAGAAATATCTGAAATCCCTGAGACCATAAATAGAGAAATCAGACATATTTTAGAATATATATATCTTTACCTCATTTATTGGTGATAGTTGATAACTGGTATTTGAACAAGATAAAAATTCAAATTATGATCTTGTAAGCCTTTTGACTGAAACTCGCGAGATCACAATCTTCTTCAACTGCATCAAATATTTTTGGAACATTTTGATCTCAAGAGTTAGAATTTGAACAAAAATTTGAAAGGCCAAGTGAAGTATGTCCTAACAAACTGAAACTAATTAATTTGAGATATACACAACACCAGTTACACACTACGAATAACTAAAGTTTTAATTTCTTAAAAAAAGTTCAACCTTAATGAGATTTTCCTTGTTTCTGTCATTAATTGTACTGTAAGTAATACCATAGATTATTTTTAACAGTAAAAATAAAACAGAAAAAAGTATTCCGGTTGGCTTGTTGACAAAATTAGTAATTTATGAAAACTTTTCAAAAGGATGTCTTGTTTGCTACCTACTTATTCTATTTAAAGTGAAACAATATTTAAAAATTGTTTATAAGTTAATTTTATTCTATCTGTACTAGTCCAATTATTTGTTGAAAGTATTATATTGTTTGTGGGTTTATAAACTAATCACACAAATTTGTTATCAATCCCACTAATATTATTACTCTATATTTTTTTTGTTCACAAATTTCCCCATCTTTTAAATAACTATTTTTATTTGAAGGAAAAATTTTGGCTGCATCTTCAAATATCCAATTTCTGGGGTAAGTGTTTAGTGCCTGTTTTTATAAACAAATATGAAGTCATCAAATTTACCAATTACATGGCAATATTAACATGTTTGCAAGAGAAGTATAATGATATGTAAGAAATAAAATATAATCTAACAACTGGAAACTTTGAGGAACTATAATAGGACAAACATGAAGAACATTTTATACAAAAAACAATAGTCTCAGAAAAGAATTTACATGTGATCAAATCCATGAAGACCCTGAGATACAGATAAACTTTTACTTAAACCAACATAAAGTCAATCTAACTGTTATGTTCTGTTAAGTTAAAAATCTATCTTAATATTTGTAAACCTACCTTAACAATAGTGACATGTCAAATAGAAGAAGCCCAGGAGTGAAAGAGAAGGACAGACATTGACAGTCGACAGACTGATCTTAGTGCTCTTTAGAGATAATTACGTATTAGTATGTCTTGTAATAAATAAAATATACAGAAATGAATCGTCTATGATAACAAAAAGTCCACAGAGTAGAACAAACACTAACAATCTTACAGGGAATTAACAACGTAATCTAGAAACAGTAAAACAACAAAGATCCAGGAACAATAGATGACTAGGACCTTGTTATATGCACCAGCACAACTTGCAAATCTAAGACATTCACTACCAGCAGAAGTTATTATGGACTAATCCTACACCATAGAAGCCAATATTTAACAAGAAAAACAAAGATAGAAACAACTTAGAGCTATATAAAGTATAGCTGAAGGGTAAGTTTAAAAAAGCTGAAGTCAAAGACATAAATACTGCAATAAAAATTAGGCATCAGAAGAATATAAAAAGATGTAGACTAATATAGAGAAGTAGAAATAGAATGAAGAAGAAGGCCAGAAACATTGGTGTGATTAACTGACATTAAGCTACAAGGAATAGGACTGAATTAAGAAAGTTTAGGGAACTGGAAGATCAATGAGAAGAATAGCACTAATGATAACCTCTGATTGAAATACCCCAATTTTTGTACAAATATCTTTGAAATTGAGCAAATACACAATTTGTTCTAAATGTATTGCTATATCAAAATCAATAAAATTAATTATACCTTTTACTGAGAGAAAAAAATAACCTGTATGACAGTTTATTTTTACAAAATTTTGCATTCTTGAATACATATTTTATGATTTATGTAGACCTTTTTTATATACAAATCTTTTCCATTCCCTACATCGATTTTTTATAAATAGAAATAAATTAAAAAAAAAAAAACAATTAATGCATATAATCAAACCTCCAATAAAACCCATCTAATTAGCGACCACCTCAACATAGCCCCTGTATGGTCATTCTCTTATAAATTTCAATACAACATCTGTCTAATAATCACTCCATTAATAACCATGATAACCACCTGACCATATCATATATACAAAATATTTAAAATTTCAAGGAAAAATGCAATAGAAATTTACATGTATGCCACAAGTCTAGCTAGTCACTGATGATGTTCATAAATCAGTTTAAGGAATTTAATACCAAGTATCTAAAAAGATACAGAAGAAACAAACTATAAATATTGAACCATGAAACATTGATACATTCCAATCCAGTTGGTGACCTTAAGTCAGCATAAAATAAGAAGGAGAAATATTTTTTAAATTTTTCTGTGGACCTATGACAAGTAACTATATATGGATACATTTAAGCATCCCCATCAGTGGTTGTTACTAGAGGTTCTACTGTATAATTAATTTTAACATTTTAAACAAGTTTGGATAAATCAATACATAAAAAAATACGGAGTGTGGGATTATTGACACTGTACAATCAAATATACATAATAAATAAGCACTACTCTATAAAGGGAATATGATATTCGTAAATAAAAATGAGGCATTATTTGCAAGGTATATTCAACTACATTGTACAATGTAAAACTATTAAATTAAATTTATTAATCTTTAAATGTTTGTAATATTCACTAACCTGCATTTCTCTGGTTACTAACTGAGAACTTTCTATTTATCTAGAGTTAACAAATAAATAATAATATACCTAATCAATGTTTACGTCTATGGTGACTGTAATGATGATGACGAGAAGATTCTCTATGTCTTCTTTCTTTTTCCCTATCTCTGTAATGGTCCCTATCTCTGTCACTATGGGGCTCTCTATCTCTATGAGAATCTCGTTTATCATTCCTATCTTCTGATCTCCATTTCTCCCTTGCTTTTCTATCTCTTTCATCTTCCTTTTCCTTCTCTTCCCTATCTTTTGAAACTTCTGAATCACCATTCAATGTTTTTTCTTTTTTCTTCTCCCTGTGATTATCCTTAAACCTATTACCTCTGTGAGCTTTATGTTCTGTTTCTCGATCTTTATTATCTGTAGATCTTCCACCATACATCAGTTCCTTTGTCTCTGCCACTAACTCTGATATTTCATCTACTGCTGTTTTCAGTTTTGTAAAACCCATATGTTGTTTCCCCATTAGATGATCTTCTAGACGCTGCTGAGCATCTCCCACAATAAGAAATGCTCCACAAACTTCACACACCTCCATAATTTTTTCTTGTGCTGATGCAAGTTCTGCTGTCAAACTAACTTGGCTCTCAGAATGCTTTAAAATGATGTCCCTATCTTCTTTAAGTTGATCACATAGCTTTAAAATACCTTGAGCATGTTCTACTTTACCTGCTATACCAGCTTGCTCTGCCTGTGCTTCCAAATCTTCTATCTTCTCATTTAAGATCTTGATCTGCTCTTGATTTGGGCTTTGTGTAGAAGATGAGGCGGTTTCTTTAGAACTTGCACTTAAGGCTAATCTTTGCTTACCTTTGACAATTCTCCGTTCTACATCATACATCATGGTGCGACAAAAACGAAGAAAATCTTTCTGGTACTGTAGTTTTTTGTAATGTGGAGTTTTGACTTTATGAAATAGCTTTCGAGCTTCTTCATCATGAACTTTGGGACACATGCCTAGGTCATTTCTCGTATTTACAAATAAATCATGTGGACAAAACTTGACCAAGTAGTATTGGCAAAATTCACTATCTTCCCAATCAACTTCCCTAACTTTTTCATTTGGCGCTACATTTCTATTTCTACCCATTAGCTCATCTAGGAGCTGGGCAGCAGCTGTAACTGCCATTTTTACACAAACTGGAATTCGCTTATAGCAATTTTAATTTTAAAATACTTTATATTACATATACATTTAACGGTATATTAATTGTCAATATCCATTTAATTTACTTACGACTAGCGATTGACAGCACAGCATTGACACATGACACAAGCCATTATTTATTTTTCACAGCTTCTACGTATGGCCTTGATAAAGTAGTTCGTATAGTATTACATCCATATAATATCAGAAATCAACAATTTCTTGTAAAAAGATTAAGTTTCTAAAGTAGGATGTTAGATGTGGTTAGATCAAGAAGGTCTATTAGTTCATTCGACTAGGCTGAAATATATATACCATTGCGTTGCGCCAAATGTAGGCAACTTTCAGTTCAACTTTCTACTGTTGTCCAAGTCCCAATATTTTCTTCAATTTTAAATATTAAACAAATTTTAAGCTGAATAACTAACCACAATGAAATGCTAACAACACATAAAATTTGAACTAAGTGAATACTGAATTTTAACCTCTTCGTTCTGGAATTCTAAAAAAAAAATGGTGTGCCTCGCCAGTGCGCAAAAAATTATCGCCAAATTTTCAAAACAGTAATTCGTTCCCAAACTGTTCAAAATGTATATAACCGCAAACGATAAAAAACTCAGATGATCAAAAATATTATTCCTTCTAATGTTTTATATTCAAAATACACACAATTAAACATTTTCTCGAAGAAATTTAGAAATTTTTAATAGTATAGGCTGCAAACAACACAGCTTTTGGAAGGTTAACTCTTAAAGGTCGAAGGTGGAGTAATATCTGGAAAATAGACAGCAGATAACATCACAGCATTATCTCCTTTGTCTTCCTGAAAATAACATTTATTTCTAAATTAACCATACTTTGTCCTAAAACCTATCTCTAGATTCCCTTCTTTCAACACTATCTATTATTATGGAAGATTTACAAAAGCTATCTAATAAGTTCCAGTTGGAAATCTTCCAGAGGGATGGTTTGTTGGGTGGCTTCTTTATATAAAACGCATGCATTAATAACACATAAATCAAATATTAAAAACCACTTGTCGGTACCATTGTTGTATTGTGTTTGTTACTATTGTTGTTTTCCGTACTATTTCCACTGAACTTAGTAGCATATCAGTTTTAACCACTATCCCCATGTTCGTATTATAGTCAAGTAGACTTATAAATTGGTTGTCCAGATTTTCTATAATTTTTAATTTTAAAGGACATTTCGGACTTCTTCATTTTTTTTTGAGGAGCGGCATACTTTGCCACTTTTTAACAGTTTCACATGCGTATGTTTTACTGAAATGCAGAAATAAAAAGAGATGAACTAGAATAACAATTACATACATGTGAATCGTTTATTGTTGAAAGAAGGCAAGCGACATTTTACAAGTTTTGAGAAAAACGCAAAAAACTTTTCTATATATTTGTTGTTGAGTAAACATAATCAAATATTGACAAGTAGTTATATTATAGTAATACAAGGTCATTTTTCATACAAGGTCATTTGTCGAATATTTCATTTCTGTCGTCCTCTTTTATTTGAGTGAAACATTTTAAGGGGCACCTAGAAAAACATAACGATGCAGATAGGAAGGTAAATGAACATAAAACAATGAACTTACTTGCATACTAATCCAAGTTTGTTGTTCGGAATTGTTTTTCCTTTGTAATTAACATATAAAATGCCTTTTATTCTGCATGCTTTATTTTCTTTTTTATTCATTGTCATGTCTCACACCTCTCTTCCTGTGTTTAACTTTGGTTTGTTCACTTTTCACATTTTTTTCCATTTTTAAGTTTTGCAAACAACAACAGAACTTATCAGGACAAAGAAAGTATTCACAATGCAAATGATAGCCTCTATTACTGAGCATACAGATTGAACGAAATAAATTCGGAACATAGGAATATAATGTATTTCGGCTCAATTCTGCTGTAGCTGGTTGGCCAAAAAGATTGTCAAATAATTTTATTATAAAAAATCCCATACTTCAGCGAGCTGCTGGATTCTGAACTCATAAAAATTGAAAGCTACACATAAATCTACGATTTTATTATGCTGTCAAACCAGTTATAGTCCAGGAAATGTAGCATTTCACCTCGCAATTTTTTCCTGCGGCGTGGATTGACTTGAAATTTAACAGAAGGTAGGTAATAGCCTAAGGATCAAAATCTATATCGAACCAAAGTGCACCAAAGCCTAGGGGGTGGTTGCACCCCATCTCCGGGGTGAAATTTTTTTTTACGTTTTAACTACAGGTTTCGATTAGAAAAGTGATTCTAAACAAAAAATGTGCTATACATTTTTTTTATTAAAATGAAATTTTTCAGTTATTCGCGAGTGAAAGTAACAACTTTTAGACGAAAAATCCACGTTTTTAATCGATTTTTCGCGAATAACTCGAAAATGGTGCATTTTATCAAAAAATTGTAGAGAACAAATTTGTAGCTTTTAAAAGACAAATACAATTACAAATACAATATCAATGTTCAGCGGTTTTCTTCAAATGCCAAATTTGAAAGATTCAAAGTCAAATATCGGAAAATGATGCATTTTTGGAAGACAACTCACAAAACCTTTTTTAAAGAGCATAAATAGACCTATCATAAAAAAATAGGTCAATACTCATTTTTTACGAAAAAATCGAGGAAAACAACACCCTAACCACCCCATAATTAAAATCGATCTTCACCCTTCTGCAATTCCCTTTGTAGATGTATTGTTAATACGTCCAAGAAGTTTGACCCATTAAAAATGCTTAGTACAGCTTAAAGCGAGAAAACGATTTACAATTTCATATTTTTTACCCTTCTTTTTTTAAATATGCCCAAAATACTGAATATATGAAAAAAAATAAAAATTACCAAATTGTAGTTTTTTAATGACTAAAAATTACACTTTATTTAGATTTGTTGTACAATGAATATTTGGCGAGATATAGCCGTTTAAAGCATCGATATACGATCAAGCACCATCTTTTTCGAGCCCTTTAAACTCACCCCATTTAAAAACCAAGGCTTCCAAAAAGATTTAATTTACAGATCCTTGTAGCTAATAAAAACCTCTACAAATCGTTTTTGAAGAAACACTCTATCGTTAAAAATTAAAGGAAATACTTTAAAAAAACCAGTTAATTTTTTCCGGAAAATTCCATTGGTATAGTACAGTACATTTCGGAGCATAATAATCTACAAAACCGGTATATTAGCTAGTGGGGCGTTATACATTCGAATTTTAAGCGTTCTTATTTTGAAAATCCCATACAACAAAATAAAACATCTGCTCATATGTCTATGACTTGGCAATGAAAATATCAGAGCAACAGATTGGGGATGGTATTCCAAAGATGGTTTGTTATTACCCGTACGCATGAACAAACAACCTGCACCCGATAAATTTTTGAAAATTATTTTTTGCCAATGCAAAAAAAGATGCGGCGTTTCATATGGGTGCAGAAAAGTTGGTTTATACTGTAACTCTACTTGTTCTGGGTGCTCAGGTGAAGGTGCAATAACAGTCCATCAATAATTGAAGAAGATGAGGATAACATAGATCACGATGAAGATGTAATTGACGACGAATAAAATTAATATTATAATTGTTTACCTATAAATGTAAATATTTTCTCAACTATTTATGTAAATGTATAAGAATATATGGTGCCTTTTTATGTTGATAATTTTTTTTGTATTTAATTCTACTTTTTTCAATTTATATCTTATATATTAGTTTATAAAAACTGCAATGTTGTAAAGGGTGATTTTCAAAAGTTGAAAAGTTGCAAAATTTTGGCAAAAAATTGTTTTCACCTATAGCACTCATAACAATTGATTTTTAAGGGTTGAAAATATATGAATTTGTATTTTAAAGTATAAAAAACTCACTATTTAACTAATCCAAACCAAATTTCACTCATCTTAAGATTTGTAATATTATTTTACAATTTGTTAAAATTAAGGGTAGTTTTCACCCCTAAGAACAATCAGTGTTCATCGGCATGACATAAACTATAAAGCAGAGGGTGAGTTGAGCTTAATTCCAAATTTTTATGCAAATCGTTCCAAAGTGAAATCATTTTCTTCGCATTACTAATTTTTTTATATTAATCTCTAATAAGGGTCGTTTTTTAAGGGTTGAAATATGATGGAACTTTATTCAAAAGCACGAAACTATCATTATTTAACTAATTCAAACCAAATTTTACCCATATTCAGGTTTAATATGTTATTTTATAATTTTTGACAATTAGGGGTAGTTCTCACCCCTAAGAACAATCAGGGTTCGTCGACATGACATAAAACTATAAAGCAGCGGGAATTGAGCTTAAATCCAAGTTTTTATCCAAATCGATCCAAGGCTAAATCATTTTTTTAGAATTAGTAACTTTTTACATTTTTCTCTAACAAGGGTTGCTTTTTAAGGGTTGAAATATGATTTGAACTCTATTCAAAAGTATAAAATAATCATTATTTAACTAATTTAAACCAAATCTTACCCATATTCAGGTTTAATATGTTATTTTATAATTTTTGACAATTAGGGGTAGTTTTCACCCTAAAACCCTTCAGCGCACTTCGGTTTGATATAGATTTTGATCCTCGGGCTATTACCTACCTTCTGCTAAAATTTCAATGGATACATGCAGGACGAAAAAATTGCGAGGTTTTAACTTTTTTCGAGCTTCATTTCCTGAACTATTATCGCCTCCTTAGACAAACCGTCTTACGCAAACAACTTTGTTGCGAGACAGATAGTTGAACGATATTTTATACAATGTCTATACCCAGGTATGGATTTATTTTTGTCCAAGTTTTATATTGGTCCACTATTTTAAATGCAGTTCAAACAGACATGTATTAAATTGTATGTTCCGTTTTAATTTGGTTCAATCTGTATAGCAAGAACCGTTATCCACGTGATGTTTATTTCGTACATTGTTGAAAGGGGGCTAGCTACATCGCTTGCCTCCTTTCTATACTAAATGCAGTTTCGAAGTACTTATAAATTATATCCATGCAATTAATAGCGCTTGCTTCCTTTCAATTACTAAATAATGTGTATATATAAAGAGAGAAGGATTTGTACTATAACTCAAAACAGTAGAAAATGGCGCTTAT